GCGCAGTAAAATGTCAGCTCGGGGTACCCTTGCTGATTAGATCCTAATAAGGTCTGGGCTGCATGTTCGCGCCATGCACCTAATCAGGCCGTGAATATGCTAACAGTTAAAATGTACTTGTAATCCTCATTTACGTTTCATTTCAACTGATGAATTGATTTACCGTCCTTTTGTTCAGCATTCTAACTATGTACCATGTCGGTTGTTGCTCCACATATCGCAAGTCTCCTCGTTCACTAATATATCGTGTGATATACTCCTTCATGAAATATCACACAATGCATTCTACATCATGAAATATCACGCTGTACACCACGCATCTTGAACTATCACGCTTGTGTAGAGCAATCAGATCACCTTCGGCCGACCAGTAAACTACGTCTGACCCAGAGATTGGTACGCCGAGTGTAATGAACATACTTTGAGGGTCCCAACGAGTGTCAGGTGGAGAGAAACAGGAGAATACTGACTGCGATACAGCAGTGTTTCGTCCTGCTAGGCTGTAGATTCACCAGATCGACTACGGCCGACCGGTAAATTGCGTCGGACCCGCTGCCGCTCCGCGAGTTTGCAACCGATTGACACGTAACCGCAACCCCATTCATTCCCATGCATAGTAGAATCTTTTTTGTCTTACAAAGTTCTCTATGGGACCACTGTTTGATGGTGCTCCTAGGCTAGGGGGGGATTGAAATCGCTGTTTTGGTGGTACTGGGGGGCGCCGCTCAGCGACTTCTCATCGTTTGTTTACCGCATTCCAATACCATCTGTCTCCGCACTCACGGGAATGTTTCACGCCATAAAAAGTTCTCTGTGGGACCGCTCTTTGACGGTGATCTTGGGCTGGGGGTGACTGAAATCGCTGTTTTTATGGTACTGGAGGGCGCCGCTCCGCGAGTCCTCCGCCAATTGACCCGGGACTGCAACTCCATCTATTTGCATGCATAGTAGATGCTTTCCTGTCGTATAAAGCTATTTGTCAGAGCAGTATTTGAGGGTGCTTCTGGGCTGGGTTATGCCCAAATCGCTGTATTGCCACCATTTTCAGCTGCCACTTCACGGGTTCTCATCGTATTGCCACAGGATAAAGACGTTCACCACTGTAACACTTAACCGAACCTTTTTCGTTTTACTAACTTTCTTGTGGGACTAATATTTGACGTTGCTCCTGGGCTGGGGCTATCCGGAATTGAGTGTAAAGCAGAATCGCCAGTTGTTAGTTAGCTCTGCAGAGTACCACAGCCACCCACACCGTCTCGCTGCGCAACACCTCTCTGCGGAGAAAACAGTTAGTAGTCCGTCCGATGCAGGGCAGAAGTATAGAACCTACATCAGCATCGTGTCATATGGAATCTTTTGGGTGGTTCCTTGGAAACCGAGTTCGAAGTTCCATCACATTGGCGGCTGGACAGGCAAGTCACGCAACGATAATCACCTTCCGCGCAACTGAAACCCTACGCAGATTTCGTGTGGCCGGTTGGAAAACTATCCACGAGTACGCCGGCAAGGGTAACCGCCGTGGGAACTCCCTCACATCACCTTCGAAACTCAGTTCGGCCGGGCAGGCAAAGCAAGTGTCCCCGTGCACGAGGAAAGCGACCAGGCCTCTCACGAAACGCTCGTTGGTTACATGGAGGGACGTTAGTCACCGAGTGCAGGTAGTAAGCCACAGAGAGCGGGTTTGTGCGTACTACCCAATACTAATAAGCCCTCACCAGCCCACACTAACCCGGTTGGTAATTGCTGGTACAGGCAAGCCCCACGTGGCTGGTCGGTGTGGTGCCGCTGGTGGGCCGGTCGACTCCTGTGGCACTCCAACAAAGCCTGTAATGAACAGTGCGGTTCAGTATGTAGCGGTACCAGCTGTAACAGCACCCCGCTGGCTGCTGAGCCGGCGCCACAGCCTCGCCGGTACCAGCAATTTCCGATCCCAATTTGTCCAGGTTGACTAGTACCAGGGTTGTGAACCGTCCGTCCGGAATACAGACTACTGGTGGACCGTAGGGCGGGGCCGTCCTGGGATGGTTTTTTTCCCGAACATACAGAGGTTCCAACAACTCCTCACATTGGTACAGCCTGATTGGTTTGTAGCTAGAAATTGGCCGAGTCGTTTCTATCCACGATCCTACTACACACGGTCCCCGAATCCCGGCATGTCTGTATGCCCCCGCCTCCTCCACAACCAAAGTATTGAACACCGAGGTGTGGTGGATGGACATCTTTTTGATATACGTACGTCCATTGATCTTGGTGGTATCCGGATAGTCGGGTTGCTGCTTGTCCATTATCTGCCACGTTTGTTGATCCGTGCTGAGGTCGCGGGTACGTGATCCCGTTTGTTGTTGTTCTGTGCAGCTTGCACTACATCCGCACTCTCTCCCCCAAAAAATCCCTGACTGCTGTTGCCTCTGCCTCCACGCCCCTCAATACGTTTTCCGAAACCGACTAATCCGCGGAACGACTGTCGCCGCCTATCCTATCACCCGCCTTCTCGCGTGCTTCTCCAGCCCATCACGTGCCCATCACATGCCAGCCATCCTTCCTACGATAGCTCTCCCTTAAAAGCGTACAACAATGGGGTCATATGTGGTATTTGCTAGTATGGCCAAGCTCATATCTTCATGGTTGCCGGGAGCTGGAGCTTCTTCATTGGGGAATGACTGAATCGCTGGCACGCCATGACTATCTTTGATGCATTTACTCCCGGAGAGTGCAAGTGGAAAATGACAAAGCCAGAGTTAGGGATAAAAACTTGGTTAAATTACCAAAGCATTTCGCGGCTTCTATTGTAACTTGAGTACGGTACTCTGGTACCGTGTAGTTCGGCGTCTCCCTTGCCGGCTACCAGAGTTTCGTCTGCTTCTCGCTGAAACCCCGCTCCAGAGCCGACAGAACGCCGTCCCCCGGTATGATAGTAATGATGACAGACGGGGATAGAGGGATAAGCGATCGACACGAATCATGACCGTTCAATACTAATCATGGACCTACAATATCCCAAACTACCACCTCCTTTGGGACACTGATTTCGTTCTGCTGCCTTTTTTATTGACCAGCTACCTAGTAAATGACCAACTATTTGATCGCTCTTCTCGGGTTAACTCTGTGCTTCACATCTAGTAAAACTTGACGATGGTCGCCGGCGGCGAAGAGTACCAGTGGTCTGGTTCACGGTGGACAGGAGCAAGTGATTGGCTAAAGGAATTGGTCGGAGAATCACTCGCTAGATCCCGCAGACTAGGCTACCGGTGCACCCAATGGCACCACCTAGTTGAAGCGGTTGTGCTAGTAGTGTCAATTATAGTGATTCACGAGGTGGTGGGCCGTCCAGATGCTCCGCTGGAGACTCTCGTCGCAGCAGTCAATACCGTCTTTTGTCCCAGGTTTGACGTCGCCCATAGTTCTGTCTTGTCCACCATCTCTTGCCGTCAAAGGAACCTGACGGCCCTCACCGGATCGCGTACAACGGCGCAAGGGAAGCTTCGAACGATAATACACGAAGGCGGCGATGTGAGATGTGAAATAGGTACCTCGCTAGCTCGATTATTATCGTTGGGGCCTCAGACTCTTAATCCGGAAGTTGCGGGGGGGGCTGACCTCGCTTGCGCCCTCTCCTTCGTTCTTTTGCTCGGGGGTGTGATGGTGGAGGTTTTGCTATCCAGTGACCGTGCTGCCGTGGGCCTGTGTCGCGCCGTGTTTGCGTCTTTAACAGTGCTGTTAGGTGGTGCCAAGCTTGACCCGTGATTCTTCCTCCACAGAGATGCCTTTACTGCCGAGTTGGCTGGCTTACGCACGGCTTTTTGGGGATAGCACATCGCCGGCGGAGTTGATTGCATTCAATCTTCATCACCGCTCGAGCTTGACCCTGAGCAAACATGCGTACTGTGCTCGTATGACCAGGAGATACCTAGTAAGGTCCCGTTATTCCGGAAGTGATGGGATCTTTCTCTAGTTCAAGTGAGGCTTTCAGCCAGCGGATTAGAATGCTCGCTCCAGCTTTCACTGGAAGTCTCCACATCTATCTTTGGCAGTATATGCGGAGTACCATAAACATGCTCCCAGAGACCGGCTAAACATACCATCAAGGTGAGCGCTGGCCGAGTCTCACCAATCTCTTACCGAAACCTGGCTTGTTCTGTTAGGAAATCAACGGAGTGGATACAAAAACTTACCATGTGAAACTGCCCCACTGTAAACGCGGTCGTCTTTCGCTTCCACGCGTAGGCTTTTCCGCAATCCAAGCCACAACACTCGCTCAAGAGTCAAGTACCTACTCCGGCATGACCTGCACTGCTTTTCTTGCCCGTGCTTATGTGTTCCGATCTGGATCCTGATCATTGTCATCGCGCAAAAGCATTTGTCTTGCGGTGCTGGAGAAATGAGAAGCTCTCCGTGAATGGGCAGGCATAGTACCATTCCCTTTCGACTAGCTTTCTGCTAAAAACAGAAAGATCGCAACCGCTTGCCCTACACAAAAGCCGTGGAATTATGGGGACTCGGATACCACACGGCGGCGGTGCGAGTGCGAAGCGGAGCTTCGACCATATGGGCACGGACCGAAGACTACGCCATCTTTCCGTCGGAGGGCCTTTGGCGACCTGAGCCCATCTTATTTTGCAACCGACGAGAATGGTTCTCAAACGATAATTGCACTCTGCGGCCGATTAACAGACTCTTGTTACTGTGTGCACTTCACACCATCTGACATCACAATGATCATTCCGCCACCTCCTGGCCGCCCTCACTGTGACCTCAGCAGATAATGACGTCTCCTTCCTTCGAGCAGACGTATATAAACCCGTTTCATCGATCATCAAGGACAATCATCCAGACACTTTTAACAACACCCAAGTACAGCACAGCATTCCATCCAGCACGATCAAACACCCATATTCCATTTCGAACTAACGACTCCAAAAACATGCCTAAGTACAGCGAAGGAGCCCGCGTCGAGTATCACCCCATCGGTGGTCCGTATCCAGCCTCCTCTTGCCGGGACAATGCTGACACATCCGTTCGGTGTGGTAGGTCGCACCGGCACCTCCACCAGCGTCGGCAAGATCGAGCGCGTCCTCACGGAGCCCACCCAGGCCGGCGATGCGCAGGTGACCGTTCAGGCCAGCGAGAAGGATCCTAGATACGAGGTACGTCAGCGCCGGTCATCGTCCACCCACGATCTGCGATCGCGGTACCCCGACCACCGCTCCACGTCCAGTCCCCCCTCCGTGGCGAGAATGGACAAGATACGTGTGGCGATGAGGGCAGCAGAGTCCGCAGCGGGGCGCACAGGCGCGGAGGAGGAGGCTGTCGAGTGAACATGTAATGAGAATGGAGACGCTGATGCGAGTATTTCTGACAGATCAGAAATGAGAAAACTGGCAAGGCGGCTGCTGTCAAGGAGGAGAACATCGAGAGCGTCATTGAGTAAGAGCGTCATCGATTGGAGCAAGTCATCGTTGTCTTGCTTAAATGGAAGTCATGAGCTCGACTGGGAATTTCCTGTATAATAGCAATAGCTTAATAGTCCCTTGAGTTCATGTGACTTTGGTCACGCCTTTTCGCCATCAGATGTGCATGCTTTGTCACTCGCTTTAATTGCGTTCAGCGTGCGTACATTCATCCGCTTATCATCATACCACATAGCAGGACCAAGAAACGAATGGGCGAGAGCAGCTGGTAGAAAAAAGAGCAGAACGGTCAGAAAATGCGAAAAGCGAAGGTGTGGTGGCGGCAGACTCCCAGCTATTCCTTCCACCCAACCCCTCCTGACCTCATCCCTAATGCGAGCTGGGGCACAGCATAAGATGGTACCAAGAAAACGTCCCCGATAGATTGGGATGCGTTCGGCCCAGGGCGGAAGAAAAGCGACGGAAATCAGAGCGCCGGGAGTGGGAAAAAGAATCGGGCCGGGACGAGGAGTTGGATTGGATGGTCTCCTTGGTTGGAGGATGGACAGGCTTGTACTTACCTAGTGGCTCTAACCGGTCTCTGTCTCTTTCTCATCCTTTTTCTTTTTATTTCTCGTGCTTTCCTTCCTTCTTTTTTCCCTTATCCCTCTCTTTCCTCCCTTCTTTCACTCTGTCGTCGCTCTGCCTTCCATTCTGTCTGTCTTTCTCACACTCTTTTTGTCTTCGCTGGATAGGACGGGGCGGAGAGCCACCGTGAACCCACATCCAGCTTACGGCCAGCGGTCGGACACGGTGGGAGCGAAAACTGTACACATGCAACTCATGATCTCCCAACGTCGAGCGCAATGAAGGATGAAACGAAACAAAATAAAAGTAAAAAATCCGCCTATCATGCCGTTTATCCCAGTCCACGCCCGTTTTCTTAGAATTACGTAGAATTCAAGCTTTTCATCGATCCAAGAAGGTTCGGGCCACACAAAAAAAGCTGTAAATATGAAGTTCAGAGTGAAGTCGAGCATAGCGCTTCCGCATGTTCTGGCTTTAATCGATAGGGTGCCGTATATGGAGTAGTATCATCGTATGTAGCCTGTTGTGGGCAAAGTCATGCGGAGGCAGCGGTAGGCACTAGTTACCGCTGGTAAGCAAGTTCTGGAAGCAAAATTCTTCGCAGCACCACGGTTCCGGCGGCATTGGCGTGGATTATTGGCGCGGTTGGGGAAGTCTCCGATATGGTCGGTGTTGAGTGCGAGAGCACCTCCTTCGACGGCCGAGGAAAGCGAGGAAAGCACGAGAGTCTGTCGGAGCCTTTCTTTCGATGCGTCATGAGGGTCCTAAATTCGATTCGATACCTAAAAGTTAAATCTGTCGCCGCTATGAAAAGCCCGCAAATTAAAATTCTCCGAGGGCACGTGACTGTCATGCACCCACGGATGACATCATGTTCGCTTCCCCGCAGTTCCCGCTTCCTCAAAGGAAAACACGAACCACCCATGAGTGCCCTCTATCCTTCGGCCGACGTATCGTCGCTCTCCCAGTTCATCGGCCGTCCGCTGCGTGAGCTTCCAACTCCATGTGCGATCCTGCATGAGCCCACAGTGCGTCGTAACTGCGCTCGTCTCGTGGACGTCGCGCAGCGCCTGGACATCGGCTTGCGTCCGCACGTCAAAACGCACAAGGTTCCTCATCCTCCTGAAACTCGCGGCGACATGGCTAACCTGCCAACCCCGCTAGACCACCGAGGTGACGCGACTACAACTTTCGGGGCTCGGCACGGGGAATGTGATCGTCTCGACCGTGCGTGAAGCCGAAGCGCTCGAACCGCTCGTGCGCGACGGGACCGTAACGGACATCCTGTATGGAGTTCCTCTTGCACCCTCGGCGCAATCGCGGCTGCTCGCTCTGCGTTCCCGCAACCCGAGATTGACCATCTCCGTGATGATCGACCATCCGGCACAGCTTCCCGCTCCACCGACCGAAGGCGGTCCGTTGAGCGTTTTCGTCAAGCTCGACAACGGGTACCATCGTGCGGGACTGGCAACCACCTCGGTCGAACTGAAACTATTGCTGGAGGCGATTGCCGCAGCGGAGAAGACGGGAGCTGTGTCGCTGGTTGGATTCTACTCGCATGCTGGCCACTCGTACAGCAGCACCAGCGCGCAGGAATCGATGCAGTTGCTGGCAGTGGAACTCAACACGGTTATCTCCGGGGCCCAGTTAACGGCGCACGATGAAGAGCGGCAATTGGTCCTCTCGGTTGGCGCCACGCCAACGGCATTGAGTGCTTCTGAAATCAAAGGGGTCGTGGCAAATCTTCAGCAGATAGGCGGAGGACAGTGGAGATTCGAGTTGCACGCAGGCGTCTACACGCTGCTGGATCTGCAGCAACTTGCGACACGGCCAGCCGGTTTGGGTCTCGCCGATGTCGCGCTTACGATCATGGTAGAAGTGGTCAGTGTGTATCCTGACCGTCGGGAGGCATTGGTTGCATTCGGGACGACTGCTCTGGGTCGCGAGCCGGGTGGGATGGAGGGTGTTTACCCCGGGTGGGGGCTTGTGACCGGTTGGAAGGATGGAGAATCGTGGGATGGCGTCGCGAAGAGTGGATGGGTTGTCGGAAGGATCAGCCAAGAACATGCCATATTAACAGTTGAAGGCGACGGAGAGCCTATGGAGTTGAGTGTGGGTATGAAAGTTAGGGTCTGGCCACAGCATGCCTGCATTGCGGGTAACGGGCATGGGTGGTATTTCGTGACCGATGGCGATGTGGTGACGGATGTGTGGGTTCGGTGGAGAGGTTGGTGAGGATTACAGCTGAAGATGACAGTCTTCAGTTACCTAACGCCTTCCGCTCGTATAGAGCAAACATTTTCTGCTTTTTTGGTTGAGTCTTGAAACAGGTGACCCCTTAATGAGAACTACATATTATGTACATCATCACCATATCATCATCGCAATCACAATCCCATCATGCGGGTCCTACATACCCGTTCGAGGGTATCGCATGCCACCGTGGTCATCATCCAGTAAGAATGATTCCCAGATAGGACCACACCTCCGTCGAATATATCTATACATATCTTTGAGTTTACGATCCCGGGCCACCACGTTTGAGGCGCTTAAACTCGTTCGCGTACCGCGCTGGTATCGTCTCCATCTGACACGTCATTTCTGGAGGCCGCTGCAGGTTTCAAACGCCGTCACGATACGGTCGACCGCTGTCACTTCCGATTGGCTCAATGGACTGTTGAAAGACATGGCTTGAACAGAGAAAGGCATGCCGTAAACAGAGAAAGACATGCCGTAAACGGAGAAAGGTTCAGAACCGTCGAATCCTCCTCGGCCGGCCATCATCCTCCTCGATTGGCATTATCCTTCTCGACCGAATATTACCCTCTTCCACTGGCCATTATCCTCCTCGACCGACTATTGCCCTTTTCCATTGGCTATTATGCTCTCGACTGGTCATTATCCTCCTCAACCAGCCATTATCCTCCTCTACTGGCCATCATCCCATCCCCTTCGACTGGCAAGATGTCGAGGCTCGGCGTGCAAAGCGGTGTCCAAGATTCGATCGTGGAACCGATCGATAGCTCTCACGCATCTAGTTCTGGCAGACTCGCACCGTATGCACCGTATATGACCCAAGTGGTCAAACACCGACAACTACCGTACCTAGGTCGGACGGGCAAGGCTCCCACTTTTCCACCAATCCTGCCCTCCATTTTAGCACCACTTGCTCTGGTTACTAGCTCAACAACTCGCAGAGTACACAACCGATCATGAAGTAAGGACTTGCCTAGCCCGCCGCATTTTGGAAATTTTGTAAGGCTAGAGTCCGGGTTGCATGGGGGGTGGAGGACGCCGGATTAGCTGGGCAGTACCGAGTTGGCAGGTGTAGGCTAGCGAGGAGGCAAGCCGGCTGCAGAGTCCAGGGTATATCTGTCCTTAGTTAGCATCTATCTCCTCCTGCAAGCACCGGTCTCAGTGATGATGTGTTGACCGAACAGAAAGCGGGGAAGCCCCCACGAAGCCAGCAGAGAAGGGCTGTTCTCCTCAGAATGAGCACAATCTGGACCGAGGAGTCGCATCGAGAGCAGATATCACCGGTGCGGGAGGTGGAGGAGGAGGAGGAGGAGGTGGAACAGGGCGACGACTCTGGTCGGTAAGAACTGGGGGAAACAACGGTCGGAATGTGAGAACGGAGGACGACGGATGACGACGGTCGGTAAGAATTGAACGGCCCGGCGGTAGGTATGTTTTGGTCCCGAGATGGAGAACGAGCGTAGGTAAGTGACAAGGCAGACTGGCCGATCGTTCCAGCTACCATACATCTTCTGCGGGAAGGGGCACTGGTGGCAGTACGCAGAGTACTTAGAGTACCGGCATGTATATAGGTCCACGAATATCAGATACCGGGAGCGGATAAGGTGGTGGAGCGCAGGCAGGGCGCATCCACTCCATTGGGGTTACACACGAAAAAGCAGCTGGATCCCGCCAGCTGGGTTTCTTGTGCTGCTTGCGTTTTCTCCAGGAGGAAACCCCCCGCCGCCACCACCACCTCCATATCCACCTCGCTGCAGAATCGGGTGCATCGCTTCGTATGTATGATACCTGAAGATACCTATCCCCTTGCGTGGCTCTTACCGCCTCCACTCAATCATCGAGCACCAGACCCGCCTACCGGGCTGCACAGGGAGGCAAGTAAATACCTGTCATCCAAATAATACGTGCCATATTCGTGGCCGACAAACGCCCACCTTAGCTTCAGATCGCCACTGCTATTCGGCCTCACCGTTACCATCGTTGGCCCGTACTCCTCTTCTTCTCTTTCTCCTCTTCTCTCCTCGTCCTCGTCCTCCTCCTTCTGCCCTCCTCCTGCTTGTCCTCCTCCTTCGGATTCTCCTCCTCTTGCTTCTGCTTCCCCCTCCTTTTCCTCCTACTCCTCCTTGGACTTCCCTCCGGGCGCAAGGTCCGTTCCGACTCCCGATCGTCCCACAACCTGGCATCCTCTAAAACTTCACCTTCGGCCCCTTACCTGTCGCCTCACCACAGCCCCCCAACAGCTGCCCCACCTCTACCGTACCCTCGGGACGGCTACCACATCCCCCCCCCTCCCTTCGTACCTACACACTCCCACACCAAAAGTCCCGCAAACTCCGCGCCATTCAATCACCCGCTGAGCTCCCTCAGTATTCTTACCCACTCACCACTTCCCTGAGGCATGGCCGCAAATTATTACGGCAACAACAGCGGCATGAACAGCTCGAGATCTTCAACCGACAATTCGGCGGTGGTGGGAATCGATCCCATCGCAGTCGATCCTAGGCTGGTATGTGTGGACTTTCCCCCTCCCCCCTCCCGAGCCCTCCCGTTCAGCTTTTGGTCCCCCACAGAGTGTAATTTCAATCCCGCAATCCACTAATAGAGCTGATGCATGGAACTTCAGGCCGATGCCGACGACGAACGAGCCCTTGATTACCTCATGGAGTGAGTGATTTCCCAGGTGTCCCAGTAACCAGGTGCTCGGGACTGGAGGCATGAGAAGTGAGCTGATTGGATCCTGACAATAAAAAGTGGTGATACCTTTTCGGTAACCTCGTCGATCTACGATTACCGGTATGTTCGGCTAGGACTGGACTACTCAAGCCATATAACTTGTAACTGTACCGCCGGCAACTAATACCACTATGGTCAGCTACGAGAACGGACGGACGTACCATCGGTACAGGGACGGAGCTTACTTAATGCCCAACGACGAGGTTTGATTCTCTCATTTCTCCCACATGCCTCCATCAAACCCCACAACCTAACTCAACCCAATGACTAACACATGTTTCTCTTTGTTCCAGATAGAAAAAGACAGGTAAAACTCTTCGCCCCAACGTTTCGGCCCGTCCCGCTACCCTCCTTCCGACCCCGAGCTGACTCAAAACAAAGGTTGGACATTGTTCACCACATGTACCTGGTCTTCCTTGGAGGACGGCTCACCCTTGCTCCGATCGACAACCCGGCACGAGTGCTGGATGTAGGCACCGGTACTGGGATATGGGCTATCGCGCTGGCCGACCAGCTCCCCAAGACCTCACAGATCATCGGCACGGATCTGTCGCCTATCCAGCCCGAATGGTAGCATTTGCCCTTCCTCCCTACTTACCACCTGGCTGGCTAACTTTCTCAGGGTTCCACCGGTATGTACGCCCAAGCTTCCCGCCGGCTCAGGTATTTCCAGCTGACACAGCCACGAATCCGAGTAGAACTGCCAGTTCGAAATCGTAAGAAAATCAAAATCAAAAACTCCTACACCCTACATGACAAATCACTCACAAAATGTCAGGATGACGCCGAGAGCGAATGGACATTTCCCCCCGTTGGTCCTTCATCGTCCCAACCCACTTCCGGCACAGACTAATCTCACACGTAGAATCACTTCGACTTCATCCACTCCCGCCATCTCAACCTCTCGATGCGCGACTGGAAATCCTACATCGAGCGTCTATACCACCACACGACACCCGGCGGCTACATTGAGATAGTCGAGCACAACATATCCGCGCACAGCGACGACGGCACATACATACCCGGGGGTCCGGTGCACGTCTACATGGAGAAGGTCGGCGCCTGCGCTGTGCAGTCGGGCTTACTCATCCATCCGGCGCCGGCGCTGAAACGAATGTGCCGCGAAGCTGGGTTCGTAGATATACAGCACACGGTCAAGAAGCTTCCGTGGGGTCCATGGGCGGAGGACGAAACTCTCAAGGAGTTGGGACGATGGGCAAGACTGGTGCTGATGACGGGCCTCGAGGCGTATGGTATGGCGCTGATGACGCGAGTTGGTGGCTACACGAGTGAGCAGGCGGCGGCCGTGTGCGATGGCGCGCTCAGTACGCTCAGCGATCGTAGTGCGCATATCTACAACTACCAGTTAGTACCTCCCGTCGCATCAGGGTCAGCTGTATCTGATTAGCCCTTTCTCAAGCCACTTCATCGTGGCACGGAAACCAAACGTCGGAGAGGTAGTGCCTCCTCCTGGTCGACCTTCGGGGCCGAGGTCATAGCGATTGAGGGAGAGTGAACCGATGATTTTTATCCACGACGATTCAGGCGGGACGACAAAGGAGAATGTTGTGGGGAGGCAACTGCAATGCGGAATGCAATTCGACAGTGGCGGTGGTTCAGGGAGACTCGCAGGCAAATGTTGGACATGATATCATGGGCATTTAGGATCGTAGGATAAATACATGACCACTACCATTCAACTTCATTGCACATACCACCATCTCCCTCATACGTACGCCACCATGCACGCTCATAAATAAATACAGAGCCCCATCCATCATGCGAAACCATATAAAACATAAAACGCCGCACACCCCTAAACGCCGAAAATGCCCGCACAGAAGAGAAAACAAGACAGGAGAGAAGAAAAGAAGAAAAAAAAACCGAAACCCTTCCAGCCATCATCGCCCAGCACCACTAGCCCTTCTTGCTTTCCCCAGTACCCCCTCGCTGACGCGTCGAGTCCACCTCGTTTCAGGCGCAGGCGCAGGCGCCGGCGTCGTCTCCAGAATGGGCTCGGAAACCTTCAAACCAACTCTCGTAGCCGCGCGCTCAGCCGCCTCCTCAACCTCCCTCCTCCACTCGACCGAATCAGAGCGATTCAGCATTGAATTCCTGGGCAGATACGGCATCGACACTATGCCGTGCCCATACGGCCCCTGTTCCTCCTCCTGCTGTTGCTCCTGCTCCTGCTCCTGCTCCTGACGGCGAACCTCCGGCGGGAAGGGGAACGGGAACGCGCCGATCACTGGCGAAACCGGCGACACGGGACTCCACAGCTCCGGGTTCTCGTCCGGCCGCACGGACATGGGACGCACGTATTCCTGTTCGGGCGAGACCACGGGGCTGACGTGCGCGCCCGCGGTAGCTTCCACGTCGAAAGCGAAATCGAAGCCGCGGGATTGTCGCGGGGGCATCGGCTCGTGCTCCTGCTCCTGCTCGTGCTGGTAAAGAGGTGCACCCGGCGGCGGCGACGGCGTGGTGCTCGTGCTCGTGCTCGCGTTCCCGCTCGAAAGATTGTGCCAGCCCTTGGGCTCGACGAATTCCCTCGTCTCGGAGTGCTGATGCGGCGTCTCCCGCCGCTGCGAGCGCCGGCGGAGGAAGAAGAATACCGCTGCGGCGACGAGTGTCAGGAAGATCAGTACGCCCAGGACGATGCCGGCGATTGCGCCGGGCGCCAGGCCTCCACCCGACGACGAGCCTTGCCGCTGCGCATCTTTCTCCTCCATATCATCAACATCCTCCACGGCCTGCACCGGAGCCGGCGTCGTCGTCGGCGTCGGCGTCGGGCTCGGACTAGCACTCGAACTAGCACTCGGCGTCCTCGCAGGCGGACACACGCCGGCCAGGGCCTCCTGGAAACCAGCGTCCTGATTAGCCTCGGCGCCGCAGCCGTCCCAGACGCATCCCGCGATTTGGGCGCGGATCTTTTCGGCGCTGGTCTCGGCCGCGGCGACGGTCGGGTTCGTGTTCCCCGCCCACGTCTGGCACGACGAGAACGGCGCGGAAATGTAGGCTGGCAGGAAGGTCGCGATGCAGCCGTGCGCGCAGAAGGGGACGAAGTAGAGGGTTTCCGGGAGGTCTTGGGCGTGGGTTGTCGATATGGTGAGAACTGCGGCGAAGAAGGCGAGAAGGGAGCGGGGTGGACGCATTTTTCTGTCCGGTGGGGAGTTTTGCGGAGAGATTGGGAGAAGAACAGAAGAAGAAGAACAAGAACAAGAAGAAGAAGAAGAAGAGGGTGGGCGGAGTGGGCGGAGTGGACGATCTATGAATGAATGGATGTACGATACCTGTCGTATTCTGGGTATCTATGTACGAGGTGTGGATGGGGCACTGGGCACTTAGCAGATGGATCCGGCCAACGGATGCACATAAGACGACAAAGACGGACGACAAGTAAAATCAAGTGGTGTTGAGAAGCGGAGCAGAGAGGCTGCAAATAAGCATTGTCTTCCCCACCCATGTAATAATATCGGTAGATACCCACCTCCCTTGTACAAAGGCGTGGAAGGAAGGGTGCGCGCGCCACGATGAAGGATGGAATAATAGGTCGCCAGCCCCTCCTCCGTTCGCGTGTCACCCTATACTAGTACATACCCGCCCAGTGATTGGCGGGGACGGTTTCGCGTAGAGATATTGCGAGTGTGCTACAATAACGATTCTTCAGGCCAGTGCTGAGTGCACTGGGTACATACCGTCTAGATACTCTATTATCGCAGCCTGCCGTCTTGCCTTGCCTAACCGTACGCAGTGCATGCTTATAGTTAGTAGTAGTAAAGTAGAGTAAAGTAGAGTACATAACTAGAGTAACTAGATGGATGGATTAGGTAGGATAGTCACGGAATCGCGGATGCAGGCGAGGTTAAATTTAGCAGCGCTGAGCTGATCGGTCGTACAGGTGACAGGATAGTTAGTCATGTAGAGTACTATATACCTAACCTAGATACTAGAGTAAGTACCCTGAGGCTTGAGTCGGAAACACCCACCACCACCGGCTTCCAGCGGTTGGATGGATTTTATTTGTACTCTCTCGGTAGTGTGCGGAGTTGGCGATTCGGAAGAGAGAGGGGACATGTAGGACCTAGGTACTATGTATGTAGGAGGTAGTCAACCGATTACTTGTGCATACATACCTGCCTGCCAGCTTCCCGGCGGCAGCGCGTGCGGGGCAGTGGAGGTGGTCTGGAGAGCTGACTTTCACCACCACCACCACCACCACCACCACCACCACCACCACCACCATCAGTTCCGGTGAAGGTCTCGCTGACTTTGCGTTGCGCCCGCATGCTCGCAGCTCGTTGATTGAGCATCTGGTAGAGTAAACTGCGATACGGTCGCTTTACCGGTAGTGTAAAAGGCCTTGCATATCTAGGTACATACGTGGGGGCTACGAAGGGCACACTCGTGAGATGCTGAGCAAGCGGAGTGCATCGCCATCATCATCGTAATTATAATTATTATCACCAGACACTCTTCGTGAGCAAAATCTGATGGAGATATTCATACCTTCGTGCATACCTGGGTACCCAACCTGCATACTGGGTATAGAGTACCTACACACGGTCGAACCTAGACCTCGACCACAATACGGACCTGTCCCTGAAAGAAAGCGATTCGGTACCTCCGAACGGCACCTGCTGTACATACCTACATAGTGTGCTGCCTTCCATCGTTCCCTTCCGATCCTCGAACCGCACCATTCCCCCACCATTCCCCCACCCCTGGCGCTTCGGTACCGCCGAAAAGCTCCCACCAGCGTTTCAACTCTAAGCGCACTCGATCCTCTCTCTCTCTCTCTCTCTCTCTCTCTCTCGCAATTTCTCCTCTTCTCCGCTTCAACGTTTCCTGCAAAAGACGTGTAGGCACATACGTACGTACGTGTTTGAAGCTACGGTCCTGCGGGCCTACAGCACGTCAACGAGGATCACGTATATATCCGGTGAATTAATCGCCTGTGTAGGCACTGTAGATACTAGGTATATACTAGGTAACTACCCTTGTAAAAAAAGGGGGGTTTTATAAACGTGAGCGGTGGGCTGGGAAATGATTGCGCGATCATTAGATTTCACAAGCGGCCCCGCGGTATTGCGCAACTATTCCGCAACTATTGCATCTAGAATAACGTGAGCCACGTAGAACGATGCGGAAATAATATAATGATAGACAATACACCCATTTTAAATTGTAAACTCAGCAAAAAGCCAGACAATGTGTGAATTTTCATACGTTGATCTAACGCTTAAGTAAACAGGAACTGGTGGAAATATAAAAACACAAGTTCGAGATATATCGTTGGTGCTCACTTAAGCGTTTTCTTGGCATTTTTCTATCGTTGTCGTCACGTTTCGACAATTTAAACGTTGTCTTGGCATTTTTCTCCTGTTTTCCGGTGTGGGGGAGCGATGGGAGCTGCCACAGGAGGGTGTAATGGGAGTTTGGTGGGGGTGGGGATGAAAAAGGACTTAAGTCATCCAACAGGAATGACTGAGTCAATCCGTGAAATGACTCAAGGAATGACTTAGTCAATTCCTGCAATGACTAGTCATCGAACAGGAATGATTGAGTCAATCGGCGAGATGACTCTGGTAATTACTGAGTCAATTCACAAGATGACACCAGGAATGACTTACAGTAACAAAAATATAGGATTTTATCTTGCTACAGTAAGACGGCTGGTGGGGAATAGCGTTACTGCAGGTGGCTTGGATGTAACCGTGCTACTGGAAAAAACTTAGATTGAAGACAGCCTGATTTGTAGGCAAAGCTAGCTTAACTGCTGAGCCGGAGCATCGCAATCGCCATCTCATCTCTTTTGCTGCAAATACTCCTCGCGAACCTCTACATCTTACATGAAGCTATCGTCACAAGCCGGCTGTTTTGATGAAGTTGAATGCCGATATAGATACTCACACCTTCCTACTCAGCGATCCTATCTCCTGTTGGTGTGGAGGAGCTGTGGGAGGAGGTACCGGCAAGAGGAGGAAGTGAAGGAGGACTCCTGTCGGCGGGAGAAGACGAATGTGGTTAGTAGAGCGCACCAACGTTGGCGGGCATGGCAGGCATGGCGGGGTCGTATGCTCTCTTAGCCATCTGCCGCTGTCACGATGACGGAGTCTCGTAGACGGGAACGTAGTGTATGAAGAGAATGATAGTGATGTAGCTAGCTACAGGGAGAGACTATATACTGTAGCTAGCTACGCTGAGTAAACATACCGAGTGATCTCTCATGCTCCACGGAAACCCGCACTCTCTATAGGGGTTTGGGTGACAAGTGATCCCGATTATAGAGTTAAATGGCCCGCAACTCGACATATTTAAAGAACAACTTCGATTTTTTTTCAATTTGTTGTAAATATCTCCTATGTAGTTAAAAGAAAGCGTTTAAGTGCATTGAAACGTTGCAGCATCTTTTTCTTGGCATTCTTGAACCATTCTTGAACTGTTAAAACATGGGAGCAGGAGTGCAACGTGTGAAACTGGGCTCGGGTTTTCTCGCTTATGCAGCATTTTTCACATTGGTCTTGAAGCATTGAGCACCTAAATGGATTTCTATTCTATGTACTAGTACTACCTACGGGGCCAGCGGCCAGCATCCATGGCGGCCAGCATCCAGTATCCAGTATCCAGTATCCAGTATCCAGTATCCAGTATCCAGTGTCCAGTATCCAGTGTCCAGTGTCCAGTGTCCAGTGTCCAGTGTCCAGTGTCCAGTATCCAGTGTCCAGTGTCCAGTGTCCAGTATCCAGTATCCACGGCGGCCAGACAAGCATTACTCTACTGCGAGGTGAGCTACCTATAAGAAACATGAGCTATTATGAGGAGCTACGGTGAGAGTAGTAATTGCGGCGAGGGGGGGAGTTGCGGCGAGGGAGTAGATGCGGCAGGGGAGGAGTAGCGGGGGGGAGGAGTTGCGGTAGAAGGGGGAATAGCAGTTGCGGTGGGAGTGGGAACAGGTGGGAGTGGGAACTGGTGGGGGAGGGAATAGCAGTTGCGGGGGGAAGGAGTTACGGGGGGAAGAGGAGTGGTGGGAGAAGAAGAAGAAGAAGAAGAAGAGGCTGTCACCCAAACCCCTATAGAGGGTGCGGGTTTCCGTGGAGCATGAGAGATCACTCGGTATGTTTACTCAGCGTAGCTAGCTACGGTATATGGTCTCTCCCTGTAGCTAGCTAGATCACTATCATTCTCTTCGTAAACTACGTTCCCGTCTACGAGACTCCGTCATCGTGACACCACTTGTACTACGGCTTCCAATTTTCACGGGAAAAGCCTGTGAACTGTATATCCACTCCCTCCGTTAAAAACTTGCAACACGTTTGTAAATCCAGCACAGAATGTGCAATGTTTTGAGTGGCTTCTATAGGTCAATAATTTGACATGTGTATAATTCTCAACTATCACGATGTGGTATTTACTTTTCCTACGGGTTTGAAAAAACAATAATGGCACAACAGTCGCTCCACTATTTAAAAAACCCCCCCTTTTTTTTACAAGGGTAGAGTGAGCGCAGAGCGTTGTAACTAGTAGTGAGCTGCCGTGACAGCCGCCAAACTTGTCATGTCCGACGCCCGTGTTCCCCCGCTCTACGTATGTAAACCCTAAATTCGAAATAGGTACGGTATCTCGGGTCTGCCGAGCTGTATATATGTATAGTACCTACATAGGTACCTATTAACAGAAACAGCCTGCATGCTTGAACTTTGAAGGAGAATCGTTACCCCGAGAGCAGGACTGTCCTTTGCGACCTGATTCGTCACTCGATTGGTCGCAAGTTACGGTAATCCTGTTCCGGAGATGTGGTTGTGGTGATGGCGATGATGGCAGCGGTGGTGGTGGCGGTCAAGGCATGAACTTCCAAAGTCTTCCGCCCCTACGTACTCTACTCTAAAATTGCCGATCTCCGTGGGCCGCGGAGGTTATTTTCACTGGGCGGCAACTAACCATACCTAAATCCTGATTCGGCGCAGGTGGCAGGAAGTCGTCGGCTCTCGGCTCTCGGCTCTTGGGCACTGGCGATCACTGATCACTGATCAGTGATCGCTTCTCTAGTTACATATAGTTTTGTTTTTGAATGCAATATACTACGTTCTTGGACAGTGGAAATGCAATAGGAGTAGTGGAAGAAGAAGAACGTCTTTTTTATATGTACTTTGAGGCTGGAGGCAGGCGGAACTTGAAAGTCGGTGTGAGGACACCCGTTTACCGTACCGCGCACAAACTGATCTTATGTACGTAGGCGCCAAATTCCAAGCCCGCTTGGAATTCCGCGAAGGACATCTCGTAGACATGGGCGGTGGACGAATAGGATAGCAGGCGTGAGTTGTGATGAAGTATAACTTACCTGCTACTAATGATCATCCTGCACGCGGCAAATCACTTGAAATACCGTAGGGTTTGATCACGAGTGCTCCATCGGAGTCCGGACAGTACGGATCGCCATTACACCAGTGAAAAAGTAGCTTGGAATGATATCTTGAATTATATCACAGACCATCACTCGCCCCCTCAGCGCGCGGCACCATTTTCAAATTCGAATGGAGGCTTCAAGCGCCGTCACTGCCTCCCACAAGTATAATTCTCGGAAAAGAAAAACCCAAAAACAAGCCTCCAAATTTCCGGCGACCCCGCCCTAGGTACCAGTGCATACCAGCAGCCAGCTCCGGACGTCCCGGGGCGCTCGCGCTCATTGGTGCATACATTGGTGCATACATTGGTGCATATCACTCCACTACATATCATAGGTAGTCTCTAGTTCGAGGTACGTCGAGAAGCTCGGCAACCGCGCTAGCGACGCCTTATGGTGGGGCGCGCCCGCGGTGTCGTGCGGTGTCGTGCGGTTTCGCGAGCGCTGCGGGAAGTGGGTCGACGTCTGGCGGAAGACCGATTACGGTACTCTACCGGGTACTCTGCTATAGTCTAACTATAGCGGATCGGTCGGGTCGGGACGGATAGGTACATAGATGGGTAGATGGGTATGTGTGCGGTTGGTTGGTTGGTTGGAGAATTTCAGGCTGAACTGGACTAGTTAGGAAGCGTGGGTGGCGGCTGGACTGTGTGTACTTACGCAAGGAGGACGGTTGGAGGACGGTTCGAGGTTGATGACAGGTACGGGATCGGGAAGAGAAGACAGCAGTGCGCTTCGGGTTGCCAATCTGCTGCCATTCCGGTGCCATTCCACCTACTGTGGGAACGAATGTTTTTCTGTGAGTAGTCCACTAGCCGCTCGGAGGACCGGTGGTGGGTACTTGGAATAGGTATGCGGTGCGGTAGCGGGTTCAAGTTTGGCTTTCTTTCTCTCTCTCTCTCCTGTACTGGTAGCTCCTAGACCCGAACATACCACTTCACTTCTCGCCATCTCGGGCGTTCCGGTGAATCACCTCCACGAGTCCTTCCAACACCTACGCCGGCGGATGATGGCGGATGATGATTATGGGAGGAGAAACACCGCTGGGCCGAATACCTACGTTACCTACTTGGTACCTAAACTACTCTGGTATTAGTGGGGCCAGCCTTCAAGAAGCGGACTTTGTACTTGTACATTTCTGAACTGTCATGAACTGTCATGACCTGACCCGGCATGATGAATCGTGAAAAGAAAAAAAAAAGAAAGAACAGAGGAAAAAGAAAAAAAGAAAGAACAAAGAGGAAAAAGAAAAAAAGAAAAGACATCAGCCTTCACCAAGCCCAAGCTAAGAATCTATCTAAACCTGCAAGATGGCAGCAAGGAGTATGCGCCGAGCTAGGACAGACTGCAGTGATGGACATCGGACGGTCAGGCGGGCGGATGCGCGGTATCGACGGAGCATACGTTCACTACTAGAAGTGCACATCATCTCTTGATATTTCATACATACACAGCCCGGAAGTGTCAAGCTCGAGCCTTGAAATGTGTCGGCGTCGATAGAGATGGGACGGGGACGGGTACGGGTAGTCTACCAGTGGGTACTGTAACGCCTCCTCATATGGTATCATACCGTAACGGGCATTCGAAGCGAATTCCCATCTTCTAATCTCTTTAATCCCCATCATCCCATCATCCCATCGAATGCAGTCCCCATTGTCCAGTCCAACTCCGCAGCCAGCCCACGCACGAGAGTGATACCCCATGAAGCCGATATTACCCCCCGCCATTACCCCCCGCCATTACCCCCCGCCATTACCCCCGTGGTTACACGGCCGGCCGTCGTAGACTCGTCACACGGCGCACACTATCGACGACGACGAGCGTCAATGAGCGCACGGAACTCTAAACACCGCGCCACCGGACCACCGCATCCATGAACCCGAACCGATTAATCCGTCGCGACAGGCGGGTGGGTGGTGGGGGGATAATAATATCAAGTCCATGAAGATCATCTTCGAGAGTCGAGGTTGGTTGTGGGTTGTGCAAGGCGAGAGACAGAAAGGTCGTGAAAAAGAATAATGAAGACGAAGCAGAGAAGAAGAAAAAACAAAGTTTGATGGGCGAGTGCTTGCCTACATCTTGCCTATGGTACTTGGTGATGCGCAGATGCAACGGCGATGAGATACCGTAACCAAGTACTGCATCATAGCTATAGGCAAGTAAAGTAGAGGAAGTACCCCCCACAGCTTACCACATCGAGCGCCTCATCTTGCTTTCCGCTTTAGATATTCCTTGAAATTACATCCCTTTTCTTTCTTTTCCCTTTTCTTTCTTTTCCCTTTTCTTTCTTTTCCCTTTTCTTTCTTTTCCCTTTTCTTTCTTTTCCCTTTTCTTTTTTCTTCTTCTTCCTTTTGCTTTGCGAGCACGAGTGTGTGCGTGATTGCGAACATCCATAACATCCATGACACCGAGAACTAACCGGAGTGTTGGCCACCGAAATGTATAATCCACCGTCGCTATTCTCCCTTTTGCCCTTTTGCCGGATGGGTATCCCAGCTTCGAACACATCCCGTATGTATGTAGGGTGGAGGGGCGAAGGGCTTGGCCACAGCTGAATGACATCTACGGCGACCCAAAGAGTCGAAGGACAGGTGGCCGAGTTGAAGGAAGGTAGGAATAAGCTTCAAGGAAGGATGGCCGAGAGGAAGCAAGCGGTCGAAGGCTTTCCGCCGCGATGCCGAGTGATGCATATGGTACCTTCTTATGTACCTATTGCACAGCCTTCGCACTGCCCGAGTATTTCGGGAAGCGGGCAGCGGGGCCCCACGCTGTCACCCCAAGACGTCGGATGGATGTCGGTGTTGCAGTGAGTCGGAGGCTCGGATTCGAAAGCGACCGCGGGGGGGATGGTGGTCCTCGTGCGGATGATGGCGAGTAGGAAGGATTTCCTCGTCCAGCGCGATGACGCACAGTTACCGGGTAGCAATCGTCCGAAGGGATGACAGGAAGGACGGGAATCGGTTGCCTACGTCTGCTGCAGCTGCGATGTGGATACATTCGGTGGGCATCACCACCTTGGTAGCTGAGTCCTCACCTCCACACTCACCCTGAAGATCCTTCACTGTGCGCACTCGAGCACGCCGCACTCTGCACTCCGCACGAAAGCGGCAAAGCCAGCCGCGCAGTCACAGCCAGCCATACTGCCTACTCCCGCAATATGTCCAATACCTATGTACAACATGCTGCGCACAACCTCGCAATCAAACGAGCACTCACTCAAACGAGCACTCACTCAAACGAGCACTCACTCAAACGAGCACTCACTCAAACGAGCACTCACTCAAACGAGCACTCACTCAAACGAGCAGTCAAAAGCGCTCGTTTCCCCATCTCCATCTTGCCTTTGCCGCATCTCTACCGCATCTGTATGATCTGTAGAGTATCTGTATCTTGCCATTTGTTTCATGCAGTTATCTCTCTCTCTTTCCTGCATTCAGCTTGCTGCTTCTGCAGTTGGTGCGCCCCTCCCACCCCCCCTCCCACCCCCATTCGAGCAACGCTCGGCAATCAAGCCCGTGCCCGTGCTTGTGCGTGTGCGTTCGCCAGCCAGCCGCCACCTTGTGCTCACTTGGCCCCCCAGCAACAACCCCCGAAACCAAACTCTGCTGGCGAACCACTATGTCGTCAGCTCTGAAGATCCTGGTGGTTCCCTCGTAGAGTAGCTCGGACATGGCA